AAATTAATGTATTGGACCAATAATTTTTTATTTCCGTTGAATACTAAATTTTAAATTAAATATTATTACAAAAGAAAAACGATCATGGCCGATCATATAATGAAAAGTGGACCGATTCAAACAAAATCGTCCCTGGGCCAAAAAGATTACGTTTATAAAATTTCATGGATTTACCTTCAAAATTGCTGTAGTTGGGGTTAGTTGGGGGTTCAGTTGTAAATCAAGCTTGCTTACAAGCACATGGATAGCCAGACGTACAGTGGGTGTAAAACCAATATTTTGTTTACACATAATACCTTCCCCACTATAGTGTACGATATAAATACTAAATAAATGTCACATTAATAATTTTGTGTATAACGTCCAATAGGTGCTTCACAAATACATACAGAAAGAAATAATGATGCACAATGCACTTGGCTCTGGACGTAAGTACCTAACTGTCATGCAATTCTATTCAATGCAAATTGACACCGTCAAAACACTTGAGCATATAATGGAAGCGAATTATAAAAAAAAAATTGTGTACAATTTAGTAAATCATTATTTGAAAGTAGTGCGTAAGTCTGCTGCTACGGAAAGCAATGATAATGACAATGACAACAATAGTGCTGTTGATGATGATTCCGATTATGATAATAATGACAATGACGTTGATTGCAATTTTGATGAGCAGACTACTCTGATGTTGATAATATTGTGAGCAACGGAAGTCAAACATAATTTTTTATTGCTAAAAGAATATTTTATACGTCTACTGCTTACAACAACTATTGCATTCAAATGTTTCTCTGTATGTCTGCCCACTTGACGGTCTGTATCAACTATTCTCATTTTTACACAATAGAAATAAAACTAAAAAATAAATGTATTAAATTTTATACTTAAATTTTGTCAAGGTGACAATATAACAGAAACACAAACAATAATATACCAACAGCGCATCAACAAAGGACAATAATTTATTCGAGTAGTAGTGCGCTTTTATATACGAGTTAATACTCTCGTACCTATAGAAATATATATAATCTACAATTTACGCGGAAAATACCATCAACAAAACACTATTATAACCATCTCATCCTTGGATCTATGTATATGAAAGCTTGTATCCCTCCATCTATCCAACCATTTGTATAAAATAAATGTGTATGTATTTAAAGGCATGAAGTGTGTCTCTGGAGTATAAACAACATTCTGCGATGAAGCATGTATAACAGGAACAGTAGTTGGTTGGTTAGTTGCTTCCTCGCTTTTGCTTTGTCTGTTTTGTATGCTTATTGAGAATAATTTGCAATCAACTTGCACTTGCCTAAAGTCAAGGCATCTTCTTTTTTTAAACTTTAACATGCTGCACTAACATGACTGCATACGAGAATGTCATTTTCATTGAAGGGTGGGTGTCCTTTTCCACATTATTTTTGCCTTCTTTTAATTCTAGTTTTAGTTTTGCGTATTGTTTAACTTTGTTCCTGAAAATCAATTTAAGTTGATTCTTTTGTTTTCCGTTTTACACTTCAATACACTTCACTACGCTCGACTTGGAAAGAATCTTAAAGATGCCAATGTTACCAGAATTCGCAATATACTATATTTTAATTCAGATACTCACATATACAACCGACCATATTATTGTCGTCAACATCAACATCAGCAGCATCACAATCTTCAACAGCAAACACACAGATGCCCAAGTTAGGAACTCGCGCTCTTTGATATTCTGCTACTTGTCAATACATATTCATACATACATATAAATTCCTACACATACAAACATCCAACTATATAAATGTTATGTTGTATTTTATGTATGTCTGTCATTCTGCCGTATCCAGTGTAATGATGTCTGTACGTGTAAGTTTGTGGATGCATACATCCTGTAAAGGAATTTTTATGAGCTGCCATTGTTGCAGTTGCATCTTGAACTTTAGTTGCTAGTTTAAATACTATGCCAAACATTCCTTTCCTGTTGTTCATTTTCCTTTTTTCAGTTTTTGTCTTTTTATCGTTTTTTTTTTCATTCCTCTGTTTAGCAAGATGTATTGTAATAATGTCCTTGGCATCATTATAGTCAAGTCAACTTAACTCGGCTTTCCTGACTGTAAGTAAATATAATGAAATAAGAAAGGGGCAATGTTTAAACGATAATGACGGTATCATAGACTCGTGTTTTTTTAAAACTACTGTTGTAGTTGGCATCATACGAGTACATAGACTTTATCAAAATACAAGTAAATATCTACTATATAAGATATGCATATCGGTGTGTTTGCGTGAGAACAAATACACTGAAATGTGCAATAGACTCTCTCTTTAAAGAAGATCTATGGTACGGTACTAATGGTTATAAATCAGTATTGGACATTTAAGACATTTTTTAAGGGTCTAGGGTCAAATAAGGGCCGATCATTTCAAAAATCTACAGTGTCATTTATGCTTATATAAAACGTATGGCATAAAAAGCCCAAATCGGGAGGTCCGGTTGTATGGGGGCAATATAATGGACCGATTTCAACTATTTTCAATAGGCTTCGTCCGTGTGCCGAAGAACAATATCTTTATATAAAATATTTTTGTGCGTTACATAGATCCACACAAACGCACAATATATCACTGTAGGGTATAAAAAAAACTATAACAACAAATATAAAAAATGCAATTGGCTTGTGTTGGTAATATTTTAACTTGAGTAATATCAAAAAACAGTACAAGCCAACAGAAATTTCAATTTAAACCAGTAAGAATATATAGTCGGATATGATATGATACCCTACACCAGTGAGTATGTGGATTATTTTTATAATAAAGCATTTAAGTTGTTTTTTCCTTAATTCCCAAATATTTTAACAATTTGTTCACAAAAATGTGATTTTCTGGATGATGTAAATAATAAATATGTGTATATCCTAATACATTTTTGTAGAGTAATTTATGTTTACATTAAAGTTATTTATGCAGAATTTAATCGTGATACTAGTGTTTATAAGTAAATTATCGACCTTCAATTCATTTTCTGAAAGGTAGGGTAGAAGGGGGATCATTCGCCATAGGGGCACATCTGCCAAAGCGAATTACTTGAAAACCGAGTAATCGATTTTATCGCATTATCAAATTTTGTTTGCGTTTATCGATTATCTATCATCCCTGAAAGTTTGAAAGATTAACTTTACATATGATGGGAGGCAGACGTAATTAATTGTTTTTCAAAGGGCTGTGAAAATATATATATGTAATGCTTTTGATGTAGAACAAAATTTGGTTAAAATATAGAAAAAAATCAGTAATAATTTGTTTAATTTTTTTGTTAATTTATGTGAAATAAACAATAAATATCTAGTTTATTATACTTTGTTTAGTGAATTAAAATATAAAACAGCAAAATAAGTTTTTATTTTTTAATTTTTTTGGCTTATTTTACTAATGACAAATCTGCCCCATCTCCTTGGCGTATTTACCCCATGGATGGGGAGGTATCGCCGTTTTTGGTCAGTGCGGAGAAGTTAAAAAAATATGTGCATGAGGATGACTTAGGAAAGATTGAAAGGGATAAAACCAAAGCCAACATATCTAAGTATCTGAATCAAGACAAAAATTAAGAATATGTATTGTGGTTTTAATTTGAGGCCGCCTCAAAAAAAAAAGTGGCGTATGGTCCCCCTTCTACCCTACTTTGTAAAGCCCGATCAGTACGAAAATCGGCAGTATCATTTAGACTTAGAGATTCTAGAATATTTAACATAATTAGGACTTCAAAAGCCTTATTCGGGGGATATGGTTGTATGGTGACTAGGTGAAATTATGGACCGATTTCAACGAGTTTCAATAGATTCTAGAATATTTAACATAATTAGGACTTCAAAAGTCTTATTCGGGGGATATGGTTGTATGGTGACTAGGTGAAATTATGGACCGATTTCAACCAGTTTCAATAGGACAATAGAAGAGTATGTGCCAAATTTCAGCTGAGAATGTGATTCTGAACCGATTGGTATACTTTAAGGTGGGCTTAGGACAATTTTTTGTGGGTGTTACAAAGATCAGCACAAACGCATAACACCCTCCCCACTATAGTGGTTTAGAGTATAAAAAGGCTACAAATATAAACGATTAGACTAACCTAATCAAAAAGACAAAAACAAAGCCAGTAACCGCTATATACATATATGGGGAATGTCGTGTCAATTGACACAACTTTAAAAATCGATGTCTTCCGATTTGTATGAAATTTGCACCAAATTTTTTTTAAATTACAATTTTTTTAGAAAGATTGAAGAAATAGCTAACTGCACTCCTTTGGACAATTTTTGCTAGGACCAATGTAAAAAGTTACACTCGTTTGAATAAAACCCTGTATGACCAAAATGTCAAACTTTGACCCCCTCTAAGTCCAGCAGTTCTTGACCGATAGGGTCACTTGACATGAAATTCCCCATATATATATGTTACAGTAATCGTAAAAGTGCGACATGATATTTTAATTGTTGAATTAAGCTTAGGAAAATTTATAAACAAGTTTCATGCAGTAATATCCTTTGCTATAACGATTTACTGATTTAGTAGTTTTAAGCTGAATTTAATATCATATGTAATCAATATTAAAATGGAGTGCTTTGGTCAATTTCCGATTTTAAAAGAATTATTATTTTGTAAATCGTTTTTGCCGATCTTTTTCATAATACTAATTTAATATTTTAATAAGTACCCAGAATATACATATATATATATATTTTTTTTTTTTTTTTTTTTTTTGTAAAAATCAATATACCCCATCATCCATATTTACTATGCAATACTTACATTTGTATTACATACAACATAAACAAATTCAAAATTTGTTTATAATAAGTTTTTTCCTAGTGCAATCTGAGTCATTCAGCAGTTCCTCACTTATATACTACATGTTATTATTTTTTATAAAATGATTTCGCTTTAACTGAAACTGATAAGAATTTTTTTGGAACCTAAGTAACTAATAACGTTTTCATTTAACTACAGAAAACAACAGCGTTCAGTAATAATAATAAGTTGGTCTGATACGGACGTAGTACATGTGAAAACATTAAGCAAAAGTATGGTTTTTAAAATTATATCACACTTCCTAATCGGTACTCCTTTGTTGATAACTGTATTTACAATAGTCGATTCTGCATTTTGGAGTTGTTCTGAAAATGGCATTGCCGTACCGGTCGTAGGCAGTCAGGTATGTTGAGAAATGAATGATACATTATGCAATAATTGATTGCCAGTGTTTATTTTGAGGTGGCGGGAGTTTGGTATGAAATAGGCCGTTTACCCAGTAGTGATGTGCCGGCGTGTTTAGAAGTCATAGCTCCAGAATCAGAGGTTAACGGCACGTATACGTTACAACTGGACTATATAAATAACGTTAATAATGGTTGGCTGCCAACAAAAGAATCTTTAGTATTTCCTTGGAGTGAAGTTAAAAACGGCAATTTTAATTTATTATATTCCGATGGAATTGTAAATATGACTGTAAAATTTAAATATTTGGGAAGCATGAGAGGTTATTCTGTCGTCTGTGGTTACTCTGACTTTGCGTCTAGCATGTCTATTATTCGTATATTAAGTAGAAACAAATTAGTTAACAACACTGTAAAAGATGAAATTGATGCACTTGCAAATCAACTCCATATTAGCCTTTCGCAATTGACATGGGTTCAACAGGATGGAAAGTAAGTAAAGTATTCCGAATGCTTAAACAATGTTAAAAAATTTCCTATCGTCCAACAAAATTGAAATCATATTACCAACTACGGATTGATATTTTTGGTAAATTTTTTTGCTGGTTATTTCAATACATATTTATTTTTTATTTTCAGATGCAATGGGACAGAAAAAATGTCAATTTTCGGTATTGGTTTACTGCTTGTTTTGTCTTTATTTCAAAGAATTTTGTAGAATGCTTTATTGCCATGAGTAGTAAATGTTTATCTATGATTTATTATAAATCGTTTATATACTTCCAAACAAACACTCATACGTTTATATGTACATAAGGGGCATAACCATACTATTTATACTATATGTTGTAATAAAAACTCTGAAATATTTTTAATGCCATTTAACGCGCAAATTGTTTGAGTGCCAATTGTAAAATACATATGTACATACATACAAATGTATATGTAAAGTAGTAATGTACATACGACATAGTAGAGATAAAATACATGTATTTGTTAATTTTATTTGATAAATGCTAAAAATTAATTTCGCAATTAAATATAGCAAGCAATTAATATACATTAATGTACTTTTAAGCACTTTTATGATTAAGATACAAGTTACTCGCATCAAAAATTATATTACATCCTCAAATTCTGAAAACCTACTGACTGCTGATATACGGAAACTTTTACATATTAGTTCCCTGTTTTTAAAAATAACGCATAAAAGAAAGTTCTCTAATTGGGAGAATTAAATTTGTTTATTTGTTTGTGAGCGAGAGAGAGAAAGAGACCAACGAAAAAAGTCATTTGTAAATAAAGAGTAGATAAGCGGAATGAATTTGTGGATTGTGCAACATGTTGCTGTGAAATAATGGAATCTAATAAGAATGTTTATAAACATTTTTTAAATTTTGGTATTTAGTCTCATCAATGGAATAAAATAACAATATTATCTATATATGTACATATAACAAAATGCATACATACATATGTATGTACGCATACTTCAGTTTGAATATTGAATAGTAAAATCAAAAATATTATGATGATGAAAAGCTAACCACATATAACTAATATGTTTTTTTCAAATATAAAATATTCATGTCAATCTTTCCTATATTTTGTGTTCAAAAAAAGTTACTTGTTATGTGGCGCCAACGTTGTTGCGTGGACATTTATAACCCGAAAGGAAGAAATTTTTACACAAAATACTTAAACAGCTTATTTATTACTTAAAAAATAAAATATATAAATCTGTGATGAGAAATTATGCGCTACAATAAATTTAACAAAGAAAACATGATGATGCCTATGGAAAAAACACTTGCTGTGAGAAACAGTAAAATTGTTAGCATTATGTTAACAAATATAAAAACACGTTAGTTAAACTCCAGGCACGAAATGGAGGTGAGAAGTGGGGATAAGGACTCATGAAATATGCAGCAAAGGAAACTGGACTCAAGCCAAACTTGCCAAAACAAAAAATCTCAACAAAACAACAAACAATGTGAACATAGTTTTATTATACAAATACTTTGTATCAGAGAAAGTTCAAACCAAAAAAATACGACTTCCAGGAGAGGAATAGTGTAGAAAGTCAAAGGATGGGGATAGAGTATTTGGATACATTTAACTGAAATGAGGAAAATTTCTTCAATGTGCTGAAGTTCTTAAAAAAGAAAACAAACAAAAACAGTTATGCGTTTTTCATAGTTGTTTTTGTATTTCTTTTATTTTTTAACTTGTCTTGTATACTCGCTGTCTTCTTGTTAAGCTTGAGATGTTGATAAGTTTTGCTAATTAACAAAAATTTTGTTCGCTAATTAATTTTTTTTCTTTTTTCATTATATAAAATAATGAATGGAAACAACAAGCCCACCGGAAACTAATGATAAACAGCCGTGCAACACACAAATGGAAACAAATAAAAATAAAAAACACGCTAAAAATCCAAACTGTGGAAATAGCAGCTGATGCGTTGTTTTATTTAAGTATTATTTGGGTTTCATTCGTATTGAGTTGAGATTTAAGAAGAGCAATTTTAACAAAAGTTGATGTTTGTTTTTTCTTTCATTCGCATTCAGTAACTGAAGCGTACCCATCGTTCATCATAAATCTTCTATTTGAAATTGCATCTTTGGAATACTACTTGCTCAAGTACTTCAAGAAGGAGAAGGAAAATTATGAATTTAGTACAATAAGAGGATCATATTATTTTATTTAATTATCAATTTAATGAAAAAGCTTTTATTAAAATATACAAAAGGAGAATGCAAATTATACTTATAATGTAAATGCCAAGTATTTACCATTCCAATACCAAGATAACAGCTTTGTATTTCATTTTCAATTATAAGAAAAAACTATAACTTAAAATCTTTACAAAAATATGTATGTATATACAATGTGTGTAGGGTTATGACTTTTTGATTTTTTTTTTTTTTTTTGAAATTTACAATATTACTTCCCTTATTCAAAAAGGCCATTCAAATATTAAGAAACAGAATCCTACTTTTTCGCTGCTGCCAAAAAAGTTCCGAAAGCAAGTTAAAATTCGTTTTATATCTTTTTAGTTTTTATCGGAATTTTTATCATATCTCCGATACTTAATATCGCGTTAAGTCTAATAATTATATTTACTCTTCCCTTCAAACCTTAAAGTCCTTTTAAAGGAGGAAACGATTATAAATAACAAGTAAGATTGCTATATACGGCTGTGCCGAATCTTATATAGCCACCATCGAATAATGTGACATAAATTTCAAGTGAATTTCGATCCTATACTAATGAATTGATCTTTTTGTTATCTTTTACCAGAATTTGCTAATTCATTCGATTTATTATAAATTTTATTATCGTATATTAATAGTAGTAAGAACGTCATTGAGCATTGGAGATATAGTTAATTATGAACCGATCATAGTAAATTTGACAATGATTTGGTTTCAATAAAACACGCTATGTCGAATTTCATTGCAATGCTGTTATTTTGAAGCCAATTATGGGCGTTAAAATCAATTTATGAAGAGGTCCTTATATGGACTCACCTTCATATATTTATATCCTCATTTTTTCAATTGTACTTTGTACTTTATAATCAAAGTATATAACTTAATTTTCCGATAAATTAATTTCTATAGAATTGAATTTTTTTAAATGGTGAAAGTTCTAATGATTTTGAGACCATTTCAAATTCGCAATGCTTCTTAGTTTCAGATACTAATAAACAAAATGTGTTACATCCAAGGCACTTTTTGCACCTCAAATTTTTTATGAAAGTTTGATAGATTTTAGAAGATGTTTAATGGTTGGAAGAATAAATAAATAATTTTATTCGTCATGATTATAATGATACAATTCTTATATATTATTAAGTTTGAAATTCAACTGGTTACTTGATTAAAAAATACACATCTTACAAGATTTATAACGTAATGGTTGCAGATTGTGTCGAAACGGTCTTCATTTCTTTAAAAATATTTTTATTTCAATTTTATTTTCCCCTTTAAAATCCTATAAATAACTTATCATTGAAAGTATACCAAAATCTTATAATGGATAAAATAAAAATTGAAAAAGTCCAAATAAAATGTGCATTTTTTCATTATTCGTTCTATTAAATATACTCACAGCCATTTACAAAATACATACATAGATACAAATATATTGCAACTAGAGCAACAATAAGTATGAATGCTTAATTCGGCTATGCCGAATCTTATATAACCTTCGCCATAATATATTTTAATAATTTTTTTTTTAATAAAAAAACTTACACAGGCCTGCAAAATTTGAAAATGTCGAGCTCAAAATACACTTTTCTAAAGGATCGAGCAACGCTCTATCCAAATCTAATAATTTCTCTATCGCATGAAATTTTCGATATATCGTGTTCTTAAAATCGAAAACACCCCACTTTTGGTGACTTTAGATATGTTATATCAGTATCTTAAAGTCTGTCGACATTAAAATAAAGGTTAAGCTTCTATTATACATATGGGGAATTTCATGCACAAATGTACTATTGGACACAAATTTTCTGCTCTATCGGTCAAGAACTGCTGGACTTACAGGGGGTCAAAGTTGGCCATATAGGGTTTTATTCAAATGAGTGTAACTTTTCACCTATTGGTCCTAGCTGAAAATTTGTGCTTGTCCTAATATCCCATAGTACTAACCTAATTCAAATCGGAAGACATCGATTTTTAAAGTTGGGTCACTTGACACGAAATTCTTCCTACTTTGAGATATATTAACTTAAGGAAAGGGTTACAAATATTTGTGGGACTACGTTATCGTTGACCTCGTTATCTATAAGGGTTTAGAATATACATATGTATAATTTATTACAAACGGAATGACAAACATATTTGTACCCTTCTCCCGTAGGTGATTGGTATAAAAAACGTACAACAACAGTTTGAAGGGAACCCGAAACGAACTTATTTAGAAATGGAAAAAGCTTGTAATGAAAAGAATGTACAATAAAGTAGTTTAAACAAAGACGGAAAACGGAAGTGGTTGTAAAAGATTGTTGTAAATATTTGCAATAATGTTACTATTGCAGTCACTCGAAAAAACAAAAACTAAATAAAATAGAAATGAAAATATATACAAATTTAAACTATCTGAAAGAAATAATAAACTTCTTGGATAAAAAATAATTAAATACAAAATGTATAACTAAAAATTAAACTGTTTACAAAATTTCTACAAAAATTTACTCTTTTCTATCGTTTGTCTATTGCAATTACGTTCAAGGTTTCAGTAGTCTGCCAATATTAAAGTATACTACTGTCGTTTCTGATACATCTTGGTAAATAAAATTACTTTGCAGCTTTTATTCTCTATGATCTTCACAAGGCAAAACAATAATTTTCTCTGGAAGCACTGATCCATTTTTGGAGTTATAGAGTCGATTCTGTCAAGCCTGTTTTGTTTTACAGCTTACATATTTTGTATGAATATAAATTTCATGACATGGATATTTTTACCATAAAATACATATACTTATACAAATGTACATATTTATCATAAATTAATTAACATGCAGCCTCCAATTGAAATTAATTTTTAACCAGTCATAAATTTAACCGCGATTACAATAGCATTCACAAATTCTTAACAGATTTATATTTACGATTTGTTTTTCTACATTTTGTTGGACCTATTTTGCCTTTGCCATAAATTTTTGCACCATAATGATCTCAATAAATCTTCGAAAGAAAAAACAATGCTACAAGTAGAAGTTTGTACGCAAAAAATTATAAATTAATTTTCATCTTTTCGTAAATAAATAAATAAATGAATTTGAATAAATGATTGCCTCCAACAGAAACATAGAGGAACAGAAAGAAAAGCGTATCAACATTTCTTAACAGGTATTTTTCTTTTTTCATACACTTGCCATTTATAAACCATTAAATGAATATTAGATAAAATTATAAAAGAAAACAAAAAGTACAAAGCAAAACTCATTTAGTTGGGGAAGCTAATGAAATAATTATAACTTTATACACCTACTAGACAGACATGCACGTACGATACTTATAGATACAGAAAGCGAAACGTGTATCAAGGAGCAAATACCATTGGTTGTGTATTGTTTTATGTACATCGATAAACACATAACAACAAACATATTTTGAATAAAATATCCTTAAGATGCCCGAATCCATTACGATTAGAAGTAAACATATTGCATAAATATGTATGTTTGTTTAAGGTGTATCCTTCTTTTTCGAAAGTCCTTTAGAAGGAGAGGAAAATATACGCATATTAAGTGATTAATGATACATTAACATCTACGGCTCCGAAAGCTTTTCGTGGTTATTATCACACAATGTGTGCGGTGCTCGTATATTTGCCAAAGGTTTGTGGTTTACACATACATACATATAAACTACAAGATATTTGCCTTATTACAGCCACGAGTCAGTCAGTCTATTGCTGGTTGGTATCTTATGCTTCGCAGGATTGTAATTATCCTTGATTAATTGTTTAACGACTCCAACGGTGGTTTAGGAGACAATCCAATATCCCAAGTACAATGAAGTTTGTAAGTTTACAA